TAAAAGTAGTAATACAACATTTATCCTGACCTCAAGTGTGTCATAATGTAATGATTTAGGACAACAGAAATTAGAGTTGTGGTAATGTTTTACAGTTTCTATAATGTCTAGGTGGTGGTTGCGTGACTGGTTTCGCCAAGTATCTAGGTAGGTGCAGTAAAAGTTAAGAACTAACTTCCAGTGATGAAGTCATTTGAAGACAATAACAGAACAATGCTGGACAGAAGAAGACTAACGAGAGGAGTTAACATCTACGTTTTGGGAGTAAAACATGTCTTCAGTACTGACAGAAGCACTGACGCACCTTCTAAGCCCGCACAAGCATTAGACAACTGCTACTAAAACAAATGTGAATATCTACTTTAAACGTGCACTGTGTTCCAAATGCATATGGTGGTATACCAGAATTACTGAAGCAGCAATTCAGATAACAGAAAAGAAGTCAGAAACTAATTAAAACACTTTTTTTTTTTCAAATGCCAGCAATTCAATTGATATCTCTCAGTAAACATCTTCTATCAAGTACATTATTTTTACCATTATGATGATCTGCAGCTACACTGTATATTCAGTGGCCCTTAATAATTCATTGAACAATAGGAAACTGATTTTAAAATAGAAAATGTGGCTTTTCATAACACATTGTATTCATTATTTTGGACTGGTTCTGGATTGACTTGTCGTTTGATCCCGATTTGAGCCGAGATCTGGACTTTGTGACGTCCTGCGTAAGTTTATAAGTATGGAATTGGGACACAGTGTTGGTTGCGTAAATGTGAGCGGAGACGACTTAATCAACATTTAAGGACTAACTAAAGGCTCCTGTTTTTAAATTAACACCAGAAACCCCTCATCATGTGAATATTTTCTGTTGAACAATAATAACAGTGGAGCTCACAGCAAAGTACTGAAAATGTTACTGTCCTTGTATTGTCAGTGCGTGATAAAAAAGATCTCCCCTTGGACCCAGTGGATCAGAAAGACCCGGATGGATCCTTTGATTACCAGTAAGTAAAAACAAACAGACTGCTCCCTGCCTGTATTACAGCTGACATACTAACTGAACCACAGACACTGTATGTCCACCACAAGTTTGAACGCTGGCGTCTGAGGTATTTTTTAAAGGGGTTGAGTCAATAAGCAGCAAATGTATTACAGGCTTTTATATAACTGCTAAACTGACATTAAATGCAGTCAGCTTCCACTGACAAATACATCTCTTTTGAATGTTCGAATTGGAGTGGTGTCAATATTTCCATGTCCTTCTGGCTGTTGTGATATGAGAGCTTTTTAAAGAAGGGACTTTTCTTAAAGACTTTTTCTCTTTACAAAGACGCCATTATTGATGCCAGATGCAGCATTATGACCAGCAAGTCATTACAAGCAGAGAGGAGAATACTCACCAGAGAAATTCAGGTCTAAATGATTAGATACCTACAATTGGTAATGCATCACAGTGAAACGGACTCATTCCACCAATAATGTTGGGTTCAGACGACACAATATTAGATCAAACAGAACAACAGTGGATTGTTTTATCTCGTGCTGTGTATCACGAAAGATAGAGACAGATGGCATCTTGGACATCATGACCTTCTGGTGGAAAAAAAAGGACTCGCTTGTCACAATTATTTGTAACTTCACCCACATTGTGTGACAACTTTCACACTGTGTCCCTAATGATGACCAATAGGAGCACAGCGTGCCTACAGGATAGACAACCTGTACTGTCCTCTTCATGCAGTCCATGGGTCTACAATCTTTCCCCTGTCTTTAGACTCTGCAAACACAAGAACTCCAGTATCATACACACCACTTTCAATGTTAGTTAAGATTCTTGTTTCTTGCAGTTGGTCCCTGGAAAGCTATAACTAGTTCTGTGTGTGTTCTGTCAGTCCTCAAGTCACGGTATGACTGTGTACCCACCTAATGTGACACAGTGGCCATCTTATCAGACAAAAACATTGTGTAGTCTGAACCCGGCATAATGCAGATACATTTAAAGACACATCTTCTTCTATCCAAGCAACCACCCTCCTTTGAATAAGACGTTTTCCAGTAGGCTCTAGAGATACATTTAAAAGTCTGCTTTGTGTTGCACTCTGTACTGAACTGTCGCTGAGTGCTCACTCAAGGAGAATCCTTGGGTTTCTATTTATAATATTGTAAAGTCATGACCCTACTATGTGAGGTGCCCTAAGAATACTTATGTTGTGTATTGAAGCTGTATGAATGTCCTTTTGAACAGCTGCTGCTTTTGACACATCTTCCAGTTATTGCAACAAAGTGATGTCTTTATCATTTATGATATATATACAACGGTTACAGTGTGTCACTGGCTAAACTAAAATGATAAAACTGATCATAAAAGTATATACATAGATCACAAAGGCAGACAGTGACAACAGAAGAGAGACATAACGTTTTTACAACCAGCAGTTGGCCTGTATATCAAAACCCAAAAAATACTTGTCTGCTATTCTCGCGTTTTGTGAACAGCAAGAAAACTAAACAATGTGACAATAACACTGTTTCATTTAACACTGAACTACTGTTTTCACTTTATCTGCAAGAATTCTTTCATGCTTATGTAACATCTTACTGAATCTGGACATCAGTTCTTAAAATCACTTTTATAAAACATTACATCATATTTAAGATCCCATTTGTCTTATATGAGAATGCACTGTACAAAGTATGCAGCTGGATGTTTTCTGTACAGGATGTGTTGGTAAGTGATGTCTTTTCTGCTCCTTCCAGGTCCCAATGATCACTGTGACCTCATTCTTCTTTATGGAGAATGAGTCTGTCTTTTTCTCTTTCTGTGTCCTACTTTGACTAAAAACATGCTGAATTTAACCTGCTTTCTAATTAGACATAACTCAGTTGTGTACAAGTAACTCAACAACTTTTCACTTTAATCGCACTCATTTTAGCACGAGAAAAAGCCTCTGAATTTCATTATTAACCTTGGAAGTATAAGTGGCTGCATTTTAATACATGTAACAGCAAAGACTATCATTAGAGGAAAGTACACACATATACAGTATTTAAAAATTATGTATCTCTGCTACATGAGGCTTTTGCTACAAGTATGACATTGCAGCGCTTGACACAGCAGGGCCTCTGATTGAAAACATGGCTGTGTATGAGTGTGCGGGCTAATTTTAAAAGAGCTGCGATCAGCCTTTATTATCACCTGAGTGTGCCGCTGTGCCTGATGCTGTGTGATTTATCCATCTCCAGTGTATGAGATCCTGCTTTGTTTGTTAATCAACAATGAGTCTAACATCTATACCCAACCCCTCTCTTACAGTCTAGGTCATTGCTTTTCTCTGATTCTGGCCCTGACTCCATCCGTAGTGCTAATCCCTCAAGTCCACTCAGCTGTGTGTTTGTTTGTGTGAAAGAAAGGATTTACATGCACGTATCATGTGGAGTTTGTCCTCTTTCCTTTCTCTTTCTCTGCACCTCCTCTTCCTTGCTGTCTCCTGTGTTTCCTCATATCTCGTCCCTCTCTCTCCCCCACGCTGAAATGGGTCATCTGTCCCTGACAGGAATGAAAACGAGAACAGGTACTTTGGTTTTGGCACGGCATCTCTACTGGCCTGCGCATGTCGGGGCAGCAATGTTTGCTCTGAGCTGGGGAGGGTAGACTGGGGCTGGATAAGGTGTAGTTTGTTTGAGGGGTTCAAACCAGACTATCAGCCAGCATCGTTAGCTCTTTGGTCAGTCTTCAAAGAGTGAACAGTTTTCATTCATGATGTGAGCAATATCGGTCCAGTGTAATTGCTTTAGTTTTTATTGCAATGTTTGAGCAATGTGATAGACAGAGGTGACATCATAGAGGGTAGTTTATACCATAATTACTGTATTAGGCCTAAATAGCAGAAAAATACCCAGGACAAGCTTTGGTTCCTTAAGGTTGTCAAACTGTCAATCCAAATGATAACCAAACACTAAGTCAGCAGTGACTGTATAATGTGAGGTTGATAAAAAAAAAAACGTTTTAAAAAAAAATTTCATGTTTTTCAGTTGGGTGTGAAACTGGACAACAGACAGAAAGATCATTTTCATTTGAAGCACCTTTACACTGATAAGAGTTGGGACTTTAGCCAAACCTCTTAAAAAAACTGCACATAGAGATAAACAACTAGCTTGGTTCTGCTCAAAGCCAAACCAACCTGTCCTAATCTTTACAAAAACATGAAGGTGACTTTCAGTTTTGTGACAAACACTCGCTTATCCATCCACAAAGTACGTCGGCGTCTCCAGCTGTTGCACAGGTTGCCAGACAAGGTTACACTTACGCTTCTGGTTTAGGTTTTGGCATAAAACACTTAATTACACCACCTTGTTGTCTCCACCAAACAACATACACTGCGTTAATCAGATAGCTTTAGACTTGTTAGTAGCCAGTAGTTAGACAGTGTTTCTACCTGCTTGCAGTCCCTTTACTAAGGTAGGCTTAACATGCCATAAAGGCGAGCTTGTTTACCTCATCGCACTGTGGTACATATAGTGCTTTGCCCACAATTTTCCTTAAAAACTCTGGCTGCATTGGGATTAGTCAAGATGAAGTTCAACTAGCTCAAATAAAGTACTGCTGTGGTCTGGTTTGGACAAATGAAAGACAGACAGCACCTTGCACTGGGACACACCAGCTGCAACGCCCATGAACATGTTACAGTTCCGAAGCATGAGTCCCATTAGTACTTGATTACTTTAGTACTCAGCAATCATAGGTCAGACCACACCAACAACTTAGCCTTTATTTTGATGTCAACTCCACACATGTGAAGCGCTAGGAGTGGATGTTGCACAGTGGTGAAGCTAAAGTGTTGAAAAAGTCTGCACACAGACAGACAGATAAACAGACATGTGAACACCTTCAGAGTACGAAATACTGTAATACTTTCCGCCACATCAGTGTCTCCAGGACCACATTTTGCCACTTCTCTCCCAGAACACAGCAGGGTAGTCTCTGTAAAGATTTACAGCTAAATATAAATGTCCTCCATTTAATCACACCTTTGGTTATCCATTGGTGTTGGAGTTGCATAGAAAGAGCACATTGGCATTCAGACCTCAATTAAAACACCCAGACCATGGCCCCCTGCCACACAGTAAAAACTTTCATTTATTCTTTTATTGTGTGGCCTGAAGCTACCTTTTATGGAGCTCAATATTGGAGCCACAATTCCACAACTCCATTTATCCTGATGTAATACGGCAGTGTTGCATTCACCCTGAGTTGCATATGAATCAATCAGTACCAAAAGCTCTCACACTCCATCTTGTAAATAAAAGAGCAAAGACACATCCATACCCATAACCGCATCGGGTTGTTTACGGATCAGCTCCTCCGACAGTACAAGGACAAGTTGTGATCCCGGACGCCAGAGTAGACGGTGTGGGAGGCGCATTTTTGTACCAGCTAAGGCACTAACATGTTTTTCACCCTTCAAGAGGTTAATTGCATTGTTTTTCGTCTGTCGGCTGACATTTAAAAAGCATCCGCCACCAGGTGCACAGGGTGAGAGATGGCAAGGGAAATCAATTTGGGTTGTAGTGAGGGCAGGAGGGCAGAGTAATCTATGTTTGGTACAATTTGACACCCTTAAGGAAATAACTTAGGCAACAAACAAGTGGAGAATATTTGGAGGACAAAAGACAGAGCAAATACTTAAAAGAACAAAAAGTTATGACCTTGGAATCTTGGAAGTAGAGAATACTTCACTAAAAAGTCAAAACATAGGAGATTTTACATGAAATACTTCCTCTGTGCATAGCTTGTCCTACTTTCTTCTTGTTTTCCATTCTTTCTTCTTTCAGGTGACAGGACAAGATACAGCATCGTTCACTATATAAGAAAGAACAGTTTTACTAGTCAGCCCACATAAAAATACACAGTGTGGTAAAGTTGTCAAAGAATAAATCCAGTTTATTACCACCTGGGTCTTTAATTTCATAGTTGGCCAAGGTAATTGCTGTGTCATGAATGTGCCAACGATGCTGAAAAAAAATTCAGATGTCACACAATGCAAGCATTCAGACAATCATATAGGTTATAGACATGCCTCCCATACTTGCTGGGTACATTGTAGTTGTGGACACACTTCTGCTGTGCAACGAAGGATTGCACTGCCAAAACATTATGACCACTTTGCATGACAAAACCAGCTCTGACACCTGAAGGCATGAACTCTAAAAGCCTACTGAAGGTGATCTGTGGTACCTGATACCAAGACAGGATCCTGTAAGCCCTACAAGTTGAGATTGGAGCTGCCACAGAGCAGACTTCTTCAAGAACATCCTGATACATGTTCAGTGTTTGTTGCTCCTCAGATCACTGTCCCTTGTTTCTCATGACTGCTGACCCCCATAAACTTTTGTGATTTGGCGCTTGTGAAAGGCACTCGTCACACATAATAATATTTCTGACACCCAACACAATGTCTTCGAGAGCTGCCTGTTCACCATCTGGTTTATCCCAGAGCTTGACATACTGTTATAAGACAATCAGAGGTATTTATGTTGGTGAGTGGCCAGAATGTTTTGGCTTATTGCACTTAAGATTAGTATCCTATCAGTTTTACCCCCACATAAAATGGTTTCGAGGAACTCTATGAGCTGTTGGTTGGTTTACAACCCAACCCTACTGTGAGACAAGAACTCCAGTGTGTGGTAATTAGAACACTGGACTGTTACAACCTGTCTGATTGTCTCAGTGTCGTTTCTTTGCTCCCATTTGTCCAGTTGGTGATTAAGTGTTATTAGACATGATAGAGAGGATAGCCAAAACTACAAAAACAAGACCCAAGTTACTAAAAACGAGTTAGACGACCCAATGCAGACTACTCTTTGCTCTATGAATGAAAAGGGAAAACAGAAAGAACATTTATTTTAATAAAACGTTAAACTCCTGCTTTGGTTTGTGCCATTAGGATTATGTTTTGGTTGTATATATGTTTGTCAAAGAAATGTCAATGTTGTGCCTGATATCCCTACAGTGACATCTAGATTTGCCTTTCAGTATCTGTTTGCTTAGCATGTCTAGTTATCCATCTGTCTCATGACTGTCTTTCTGTTTTACCCACCCCACCTTATGTCTGTGTCCTTTGTCTCTTTATGGATTTCTTTTCTTCATTGGCCCAAAGATCTCTTGAAAGGTATGAAAGAAGATGAGTCTCCTGTAACACCACCTGAGTCCTCTTAATCCTGCTTTCGGAAAAGCAAATGCTCCTTTGTTGACTGCAGTGCATTTTAATCAAGGCATTCCACTTAACATCCAAATGAATTTTATCCATCAAGCGAGAATATTTTTAAGCATGTTTAATGCTAAACACAGATAGTTGAATTCCTGGCTGGAATGTTCATCTGTGTCAGCTTCATTGAATTCTGCAAAATGGGCGATTTCTTGTTTTCTTATGTGAGGAAGATAATCTGAAGTTTATTTCTCCCACCTTTGCTCTTGACTCATCTACTTAAAAATATCACCTAATCAGATAATTGAATCGTTTCTGACTCTGCCCTCTTTCATCCTGAAGTTATTTGAAATCACTCAAAATAAAAGACTGTCTTTTATTTCAGTGACTTCCAGTGACTTCAAAATGAAATACAGAGCTCTCTTCTAAAGCCGTCTGGCTCACTGAAGTTCCTGGTGCAGTACGGTGAACAAATAAAAGCAAGCCTGGCAAATGTGACTGGAGCAGGTGTTTTGGAATAAGGCTCTGCCTCGGCCATATTTATTTAATTAGCTGTAGGAGATGTAATCTTGAAGTGTTTTAGTGGAACTGGTGCATAGAGAGATGTCCTTCTGATTAACTCCCAGCACACTCAAAGGTTGTTGAACCACAGAACCACTTTCTATCTGTCAGCTGCTGTGCTGCTCACCTTACTGCACAGACATCTGATGCACTGAGTTGTGAATCAGAACATTCAAACCAGAGTCTACAATTTACTGGCCTTCAGGACACCTTTAGGAAAAACGCTACTCTGTTTAGAGCTATATGTGTGCTGCAATCCCTGAGTATTTGAACAGTAACAAAGTTTGGTTTTGGAAGCTCTCTACACAAGCAAGTTGGATTTAAAATAGAAATTACAATGAGGTTAAATTGATGTAATTTGAGGGTGTTTCAGTCAGACTTTCTTCCCATAAGCCATCTCACACATTGTTTCTGCAAGGAGCTTGTTACGATGCAAAGTACATTTTACTGTGCTATTGTGAAGCGACAGATGCATCGTTTTAGCAGATGCTTCGAAACATTTGTAAAACATTTGTAACATTTGTAAATGTGACAGATGACCAGAGTAGTTATGACAGGATTAATGGAGAGAAACAGGTGACACACACAGTACCACTCAAATGTTTGGACACACCTTCTCATTCAGTGGTTTTTATTTATCCAAATGTTTGGACACACCTTCTCATTCAATGGTTTTTATTTATCCAAATGTTTGACTGCTACTGTAGTTATACTATCTGTAGCATATCTCCTGCTGCATGTGGTATTGGTGATATCAGAAAAAACATGTGATCATTAATGTGATAAGGCTTGTTCGTGTCAACAAGAACCCACTGATCCACATAAACTGTCTTCTAGTAACATAGTAAACTTATCAGCAGGACAGAGTTGCTGGAAAAAAAGAAAAGAATAATTTGATTCATCCAACCTTGTTGTTAAGGGAGTTTGTGGAATGGTTGGAAAGAACATTGATCGTTTTAAGAGTCTGACCAAATGACTGGTGAGGACAGTATTGCAATTTGTTGGTGCTGGAAGACTGTCGAGAAGTCAGTTTAGCTAAATGAAAAAACAACAACAACAAAAAAAACCAACAGCTTACTATTACATTGTATATCTGTCTTCCTTTTACCACAAACTTAACTTAACTTCACCTCTTTTAAAATGGGATGGAGGCAACACCAAACTATCTGGTTGTTGTTAACAAGTTAGTGGAAAAATGGTGGTATGCCTTTGTCAAGCAGGTGAACTAACCTTTTAATATACAGCCAACCCATTTAGATTTTAGACCAAACAGCAATATTCTTGACAATATTCTTATGTTACTGCTAAACACCAGACAGATGAGGGCAAAGCAAGAGGCTGGCAGATCAGCAGCAGCAGGAACCACATCAGGAGTCTGCAGACGTCTGTCGTCTTGGTTCCTTCCCACCATCACTGACTACTTGCGTATAGAGAATCCAAAGGCATCTTTGAAATGTTGCTCTCTGTTTAAAATTCATAAGGTCTTCACTTCACTAAGTGAAGTACTGCGAGATGACATGTTGTGAATTAGTGCTGTATGAATTAAAACTTAAACTGAATTGAATGAAAAAAATTAAAAGGTCTTAAAAGGTCTACAGTGGATACAAACAGCCAAGATCGATTTCTTACTCCTCATAGTCGCGGTTTCATTTCACATCCAGTAAGCTGGAGCTAACCGAGCCGTCACTGTCCTCACACCTGGTCTCTCAGGTGGCAATTAAAGGTCCGAAGCATTAATCCAATTTATGATACGCTCTTACAGTCTTCATCTTATGTGTAACATCTTTTCATCTTTGTACTTTGTTAGAAATCAGTTTCAGCTGTGAAAGGGTCTATTGTTTTCTTCTATCTCTGTATCTTGATCTTGTCTGAAAGTTTTTTGGTTTTTTTTATGAATGCGGAAACAAATACTGGATCATGGATTTGATCAGAGTTGAATTTGCCATGGTGCTATTGTATTCTTGGTTATGAACATGTGTGTGTATGTTATGTGTGAGGTTCCTAAACTGTTTCGGCATGACGCATGGTGATTCTGAGAAGCGAAAGTGCTGATCCTGTCCTGTTAAAGGGCATCTAAATACATGACGTTTGATAATCTAGAAATGCAACACACATACATGAGAAGAGAATCCCACAGAACTTTTGCATCCTTCAAATGCATTTCCTGCTGTGATGCTACTGGCTTGATCTGAGATAAGAAAGCTAATGCTAGCATAGAGCTCTTTATCCCTGTGCATGAAGTTCTCTTCCCCCTAAAATCTGTGAGTAGGCTTTAGCCATTCTCTGAACTGAGATCAAGCAACTCCACAAATGCATTTCCATGTTTAGATCTCATGTCAGAATATGGCCACCATTTAGCATGTGTATGCAGATATTTGAACTTTTGAGGACAGTATTTATCTCTTTTAATCACCCCTGTCTTCTATAAAATACTCTGTTTGCTAATTAGTTTTTTCAAATAGGTTTTTAGAGGAAATGCAATTACTACTTGGATTCATCTTTTGTAAAGCACATTGTTTTACATTTCTTGTATATAAAAAGAGATATATAAAGAAAGTCTGATTGATTGATTGTTTTTGCTGGCATCACATTTTCCAGCTCAGAAAGTGACATTATTATAATGTCCAGAGGTCACAGGGACAAAGTTGTCATGGATGCTTTAATTCATATTCTACATCTCAAGTGTTTGGGGCCCAGTGAAGGCTTTGAAGAGACAAAGAGAAAGTAAATATATGACAGCTTTTGTTCAGGAGAAGTCTTTTGTACTTGTCATGAACAGCTTACAGATACATTCAATGTCATGTTGATAGACAACATAATCCAGGCAGTATTGCATTTCTCACAAAAAATCTTACTTCTACATGAAAGTTATTTTTGGGAGACAGGGTTGCTTTTTAAAACATAGAGGTGAATACCGTGTAGTGGTCTGCAAATCTTCTTATTGTAGATCTATGAGCATCTTTGGTATTAAATTCAGGTGCAACTGCGTTTGTAAAAGATAGGTTTGTATTTTCTCTTTCCGTATCCTTAAATCAGTACTCACGTGCCATGTGTACAATTGCACTTGTTTCTGTCCTCTTGTGATACAGTCACATGAAAGCTTTACTACATTGGAAGAAGGTGTAAGACACCATGCAGAAACCTACTGCAATCAATCTATTCTTTGTCATTAGCATGATGTAAATTTGTAGGTTTTATGGCTGTCAAGCTAATGCTAACTTCAAAAATCCAATTAGTATTTTCAGGTTACTTCAGAATTTCTGCCAGGTCTTTTAAATTGAAGCGATAAGTTGAATGAATGTACTGCTGAGAGTCCACTCAAATCAATACATTATGTTTCTAAAATAAAACAAACAAAAAATACATTTTCATCAAATTGGCAGACTGAATAACATAGATTATCTATGAACAGATTAATGATGGAAACATGCTCTTTGTCTTCAGTTCAGACAGATTAGGTCATGGTTGTTTCTTTTCCTAATAATGGGCACTGCTAACAGTGAAGGTTAGTACTGAATTAAGATCACACCCCCTTACACTTAAAGGTTTACCTGGGACTGGTCTTAGATTTTGGTCTCTGTACTTACTCTGGTACAAAGTGGCCCCAGTAGCTGCAAATTGGGAAAATTCAAATGGAAAACAAAGCTTGAGTAAAGAGTTCTTAAGTAAACTGTACGTTTTAAGTTTTCACAACTCATTTTCTCCAGTTCAGTTAACTCAATTTTCAAACCTCATAAAGTGACTCTGAAATAATTTTTGAACCCAAGTTCACTTTTCAAGGCAACAGGGGAACCAGCTTGATTTAATTTCCCCCCTTTAACCTGTGCCGATGACAGGGTCCCGATCTGTAACAAGGCCCTGCTGCCATTTTACCCTCTAACCTTTGTCTTTATCTACCTTTGCAGCAGCGATGAGGACAACAAGCCTCTGCAGGGCAGCCAGACTTCACTGGACGGCAACGTAAAGGAAAGTGATGACAGCTTGGTAGACTATGGCGAAGGCGGCGATGGCCAGTTTAACGAGGATGGCTCGTTTATTGGCCAGTACACAGTGAAGAAGGACAAGGATGAGACAGAGGGCAACGAGAGCTCCGAGGCCACCTCGCCCGTCAATGCCATCTACTCACTGGCATAGCGGCACAGAAGTGCACAGAGGAACTCAGCAGTACCCTCTGGTTTAAGGGCGTTACAACCAACAACAGCACCATACACCAGACAAACACACACACACACACACACACACACGATTATATGAATATATGAAACACAATATACAACGGAAAAAACCTGGCAGGGCCTCTCTGGGGACTGTATAGGCTCACCTCTGCAGATGAAGTGGAGGAACACAGGAGTGGAATTAGACCACAAGCCTTTAATTTATGTTTCCAGCTCTAAGAATATGGCCCATTGAAGGTGATGTTTGGACAAAGTGGACAGTGCTCATTTTCTTCTGTGCTCTGCCTGCCCTTTACCCACACAGACTTGAAGTGTGCCTTCAGGGCAGCTTTCAGCATTTGGAGGCATCAACAAGCGTTTAGAGATTTTTTTTTTTGTTTGTTTGTTAATTTCTGCCCCAAACATTTTCTGTGCCCCTGTTGTCCTTCTTGACATGTCCCTCATACTTCTGTGTGGCATCCCAGTAGAATAAACGCAGAATTATTACACACACACAGACACACACACACGCTCACTGGCCCCATCCTGTAACATATCAGCTTCTTACCATCAATGTCAACAGGATGCTGGCAGATATGTTTATCATATTGATATTTACACAATGAAAGATTTTAGTTTTTCCACTGCTGGTAGATTAGTCATTTAATCTTAATGAATGCTGTATACAGTCCTGGCACACATTTTAGTGCCCTGCAAAACTATGCACTATCACCTCCTCCATACCATCTTGGGTTTAATGTGGTTAGTAAAAGTACACATTTTGGGTTTCTTTTTAGCACTCGCCGCCTAAATCACATGCTTTTATTCACTTTGCCTTGAACTATGTGGTAGACATGTATTTCTTACCTCTAATCCAACGTCATTGTGCAGATGTTAAAAATGGGCTCCATGAAAAAAGTAATTTCCTGCACAAGCAGCGAGCTCTGTTACGTTATACTGTTAATGAGTCCCATTGTTTTAAAAAAAGATTCAACAAAAACATTATTTTGGAGCATGGTAGTAAACTTAGTGCAAGATGAATAGGAAGGCAACAGAAAGGAAAGTTAGTTTTGCTTGAGAAACACCAGTAGACCACAACCCAGTGAATTCCCTAGTTAGCATGCAGGCTAATGCTGCATTCATGTCAAATGGGAACAGCTGTTGGTTGACACTAAAAATTCTGACAGCTGCGCTTCTTTGCAGCTGCGAGGCTTTCATGATTCTGTTAGACTTTGGTTTCTCGTTTGTTACATGTGAATGCGTAAACTATTACTTTTGAAAGTCTGTTTTACGGCAAACCCAAAGTTGCAACGTCAATCTAACACCGTGATCACATCGTGGCTTATTATGACTGAAAGAAAATATTCTTGTACAACTTAGCTACCTGTATTTTCTTGATGGCGACACCACAATTCTGTAAATTTGGGGTCACATTTAGTTTTTAGCTCCTGTTATCTGAGATGTATAATGTTGTCAGGTCGGAAGCTTATACGTATGTTCACTCCCGTGGGACATGAATGCAGCAGAAGAGGTTCTGATCCTTCAGGTGTGTTCGGACTAAACTTTGCCTCAAGTAATTCACATTGATTTGATCATTGAATTGTTATTACAGTCCCTAAACAGCCAATGTACGGATGTTAACTACTATCATATTCCCCAAGTTCCAGTTCTTACAGATATTTACCTCCACACCTTGGAAACATGAAGTCAGTTATTTTGTGTCATCTCATCTCTTTGCATCGACTTTACAGGCAAGCACACTGCCTCTAAAACTGTCTCTGTGTTTAGTCTGAACCCACCTTCACAGAGGGATCTCTACCACTTCCCTTCCTTCTAATTTTTATAAACTCAATTTGTTGATCATTACACATGAAAAAAGATGTTGGTGAACTACTTACATTAAATGACAAGATTTACAGCATGAAAGTATATACACTAAATTCACAGCCACCTTTGAAATGAAATGTATCAGCTTCATTTTTAGTTTTTTGCAGAGGAAGAGAGAAAAAAAGAACACCTTTAAGAAGGATGTGCACTCAGTATTTCACTTGTCCTACAAGCTGATTCATCATGTTGTCATTCTAGTTGCAGACTGACAGTCAGTGATTTGTTTTTGTTTCTTTATTTTCCACTAAATGTCACTGAGTGCTTATTGGATTCATCACTTCATTTTAGCACTCGTCAGTTCAAGTACCTGCTGCTCAACAGCACTATTAACCCTCCAATGCTAAATCAAATAGATCTTAACTACGGTTAGGTTCACATTGTATTTCAAATATTTAATTTATATTTCTATTTATTACATGATGTGGGATAGTATTAATATATTAGTGCTTAATTTGATAATTGTTATATAAACATTTTGACCACCTTATTTTGTTGTTATGTACCAGAAATAGCCAAACTTAAGATATCTCCAGAATCTGTTATTGCTCATCATTGGAGGCATCAAACACGACAGTATGTTAAAGATATTTTTGTAGCAGCTGGCTTTTCTGCTGTGAACAAAACTACACAAACCATATACATGTCATCGTCCATGAAAAGGATCATGTTTCTCTGTCCATTGTGCTGCTCTTCTCGTACTCATGTGGTATTACTGTTACTGTGTTGTTATTCAGATTTATGTAACATAATCTTTCCACCGCACAGAAAATTAATATTATTGCTTATTACTTATTTGGCATATATTCTGTATATGTTGGTCCTGAAAGAATATTTCTCATCTTTGTAAATATTTAAAACATGTTCCCGCCCACCCCCCCAAAAAAAATGCTTTATCTGAAAAGACAAAACAAAGAGTCACAAATCTGTATCCACCAAGCAAATGCGACGGTGCATCTTTACTCTGTCATGCACCTTTGTAATGTAGCTTTGACTAACATTTGCACTCTGAAATAATAACAAGAATCATTCTTCTCTATGTTACCCTTTGCTTTTGCATTGTAATATATGGTACTGGCTGTGGCAAGTCTCAGTCAATCGTTTGATGATGGTTTGGATTCTATATTGTGAAAGAGGAATACGTTAGATTCTCTATGATGTAAATAAGAAGTGCTCCTGCAGTATACTGTCTGTAGCATTTGTCACACACAAACTGCTAATAGGCCTAGAAACATGCATTGGAACAAAGTCCCCTCCTTTACGCTGTTACACATTTGTCTTCTTTCTGAGACTGCATACATTCTCTCCCATAATGCCTTTCATGCCAGTTCCTAACATGGCTATCGTTACACTGCTGTGTCCCACTTCAGGGGTCACTTAGTGAAAGTTGAACCTCCTCCTCCTCTTCCTCCTCCACATCCTGCTGCCCTTTCTTTGTGCTATTATGACCCTTAATGTTACTTTCAAGTGCTCTTTGGCAACTTGTAAAATGCACATTTCAGAAATTACTCCCGGAACATTATTGTTAGATGCAATATTGTAGTTCCATATCACTGCAGACCTGAGTAGTCGATGACCTGGGGCTTTAGGGCCCTGGCACAGGGTTCTACTCTGTGTCTTCACACACCAACAATGTCATTGTCATTTGAAGGGACCAATCAGATTGATCCCAGTTGATGACAGTAAGTCTGCTCAGTGTCTACCTTGTGAGGGATTTTAATGATTCATTTTCTCTGTACTGTGTGTATCTCAGACTGTGCTACATGGATACATACTGTACCTGAAACTTGCAGTGTCATCTCCTGAACAGCACCCATATTTACTTCCAGAAGCTCGTACCAAACCAGTCAGACAGCAAGGTAAACAAATGCAGAACCTAATGCTTGGCAATGACTACATGTCACATCGCATCAATGTCAGAAGGTTAGAAGTGGTTAATATCAGTGGCTAACTTGGATTAGATTATTTTAATACCTGCTCAACAACTGACAGTGTATCAGGTTGACTTATACAGACAAATATATTCAGACAATATCTTATCTGTGATGCTCCTGTGACATTTTCAGAAATGATTATTTACATACGTCAGCCGCTTTGCGTTGGTCTGCTCTATCTCATACAATTACAAGTTGACAAGGATCACCTTCACGCACAATTGCACATCTGGTGCGCAATCAATTGCAGAAATATGTGCAAAGAAAGGCTTCTCTTTCTTTGCTCACCCTGAGGAGACTTTGAATATGGACAAACCTTGTGGATCTAGTATGAAAATGTCATTGTGTGGACCTGAAAGGGGGTGATCTCTAAAATGAAACACAGTGTATATCACAGCGGTGCCACCACTGGCAGCCTGGTATTTTTCCCTCCTTCCAACACAAACAGGTGTCTGATTCTCTAAAAACACCTCTCAGAAACTTATATCTGCCTGAAAACTTATTTTGCTTGTCTTTCTGCAGAACCTCAAAGCAATATCCTCTGAATTTTGTTCAGCTGGGTGATTTCTCTGATGCCATTGTTGTGCAGTGCATTCAATCTAACCTTGGTGTGACCGCAGCAAGTTGTTGGAGACAAACAAGTTGACAAGCAGGAGACTGGTGTTGAAACAGAATAAAACCATAAGGAACAACACTGAGAGATCAAACATTAGGTTGGAATGTAAGTCTGAAATTTCTTACAGGACTTGTTGGAAGTTTTTTCTTCAACATTTGATCTTAAAATGTGCACCCCCTCTACTCACATGGCCTTTCACTTTGCCCCCAGCTACATTACAAAGAAATATGCATATTTGCTGGTACACAATGCTTTTTGTATTTTGCCCTTCTGTTTGTGCACATTGATTTGGGGTGCGCACGGAGCTGATTGTCTCTTTTTACTGTCCACGTCATCTCAGCTCACCTGTCATGGGGAAGAAAAGTGAATATAAACATGCAGTTTGACAGTTTTGCATTTTTCCGTCATTTCAAAATGCTGCAGAGTCAACAGTTTTACTGGTGCACATTTGCAACTACATTTTTTTAATGACTGATCACGTTTGTTTTTTGTTTTTTTTGTGAACTGTCATATTAGCATCATCTTGTTTTTACTGTGTGCATCAGAGCAGCTTGTCAAAGTCTTGCTTCAACACGCAAAATAACAGCTTTTGTAAGGTACATCTATTCAACAGAAAATGGCATAAATATATTCACCATGTATGCGTGTATGATGAGATGTTGCAACTTCTGCTAGTGACGCCTTCTTTATAGTAAAGCTATCTCCTTTTCTCTACCTCCTGACTGCTCGTCTCTCAGTTCATCTCTAAGCTTCATTTTGTCTTTTCTGACCCAGTGGGTAGTAACTGGGTGTAGATCTGTAACAACATCTGTGAACAACTGACTATGATTCCATCTCAGAAGATTTATTCGATATGTAGTTCATGCTGTTTTGGTTGAGGACTGACAGTTCCACCACAGACACATCAGCCAACCGTCACTGTCTTAAGGTTGAAGGTTTTCTGCCAAGGTATTGACCTGGAGTTGGGGAGTACACACCTGCACATGTTCACACAATCCACTGATCTACAGGTGGTGATAACATACCAACATCTGGAGCAATGCGCCAACAAAGGTGGAGCAGAAGAAGACCCCTTCATGCTTCACATGCTTTACTGGGTTGTGGATTTTATTTGTAATGGGTTAAATTGCCATTACCTCAATCACACTTCACTTAGTACCCCCCAAATGAAGTGCAACTTCAATCTGCTATAGTCGTTCCTTTCACAGTTTCAGTCACCTCCATCTTTCCACTGCACGCCTCTCTTTCCAGTTCAGTAGCTCTCATTCATCTGACACACCTTCAAGGGATTTGCCACTGGAGATTCATGATTCATTGAAGACCTTCTTAAATGACAAAAGTGCAACTAAAACTAAATAGCCAACTAACGCTTGAAAAGACGGCCTATGATGAAGCACTTCTCGTCGCTGAATAGTAACTGAACAGTCACATGACAGATGGATGCATAAACAAATTAACTCATTTAAATGGAGCTAGTGAGCTGTCGTCATGTCAAGTCTTATTCAGTACACACATCTGTAGAATTGCACACTGTAACTGCTAATAATAATATGAAGATTATAGAATCTGACTGAGCTTCATTCCATCTTGCTGTACCACTAACAAGGATCCTCTTCTACTCAGTAACATTATGTGTTTGTCAGTAATGTTATGTGAAGTTCCTGGTTGGAAGAAACAGGTTGATGACAAGAAGCAGCGACAAAGCAGCTGAGGCAAACTTTAAATTGCAGGAGGCAGCCAACATTTGTGAAAATATAAGCGAACATAACATTATAAGGTATAATGTGGATGTTGCTCTCAATTTGATGGCTTTTGCCTTACTGCTTCAAAAGTAACTCCAGCTGAATTAAGCTCTTTGGAACAGTCAGTAACAGCCTTCTGATACAATGACTCTCTTACAGTGACGGACATAAGTATTTGATCCCCTGCATATTTCATGATTTTGGCCACATACAAAATTATCTTAACTGTAAGAGACAGAATAACAACAAAAAACCCAGAAAAACACAGTATCGAACAGTTAATTTCCAGTTGAGAAATAAGTATTTGCTCTCCCAGCCATCAATGACCCATTTCAAGTGTCCTGACTGAGAGAAGGAGGTTCTTGCTCAAGATTTCTTGGTCCATGGCCCCATTCTTTGCTCCCTTGATGCGGTGCAGTCGTCCTGTACCCTTGGCAGAGAAACAGCCCCAAAGCATAATGTTTCCACCTCCATGCTTGACTGTAGGGATGGTGTTGATGGAGGTAATAGTCAGCATTCTTCTCTCTCCACGTCTCCTGAGTGTCATTCAAATGCTCACTGGCAAACTTCAGATGGGCCTGTGCATGTGCCTTCTTGAGCAGGGGGACCTTGAAGGTGCTGGAGGATTTCAAACCATTACGGCGCAGTGAGTTACTGATGGTTTTCTTGACGACTGAAGTCCAGCGGCCTTGAGGTCATTATGAAGTTCCTACCATGTAGGTCTGGGATTATCCTTGATCTTTCTGATGATCAGAGATGCTGCACAAGGTGAGATCTCGTGTAAATCTCCAGACCAAGGGCGACTGATTGTTGCTTTTTCTTTTTTCCATTTGCATATGATTGCACCGACAGTTGTCACCTTCTCACCAAGTTGCTCGCCGATGGTCTTGTAGCCCTCTCCAGCCTTGTGAAGCTCTACAGTCTCGTCTCTGACGTCCTTAGATAGCTCTTTGGTCTTGCCCATGGTGGTGAAGCTGAAGTGTGATTTTTGGACAGGTTTCTTTCACACACGTACATGTAACTAGTTCAGATTATTAGTTTCTAAAGCAGAATGGGCTCATATATGTGCCTCTTGGCCACATAGCCAATCAGTGGGAGCAGGAATTCTTGCTGGAAGGAATGGAATCAAATACTTATCTCCCTTGGTCGACTGGAAATTAATTTAGAACTGTTGGATAATGTGTTTGTCTCAGCTTTGCTTGTTGATATTCTGTCTCTTACAGTTAAAATAAACCTACGATTAAAATTATAGAGCGCTCGCTTATTTTATTTTATTTTTTTGTATGTGGCCAAAATCATGAAATAGATGTGGGATCAAATACTTATTTCTCTCACTGTACACCTGATTCACCACATGAATCGGCCTACCTCATATGCAACAAGCAGTTACTTTAGCTCCATCTTCAGACAGCATGCAGGTGTCATGATCACATTTCATCTAGATTCAGTTGAGTGATCCATTGTTTTTTTTTGTTTTTTTTTTTAACCAGTTTCTCTGTTTTCCTGTGTTGTTGTACATGCAGCATTTTCTTTTCTTGTCCAGACTGGATCACCTTTACTATTCAGATGTTATCGCACACCTTAGTTTCAAGCAGACTTAGTCGTTTATTGTCTATTCAGGATTTATGGCTTCTATTAAAGAGAAGGATGGTGAACTCTGACTGTCATTAAAAAAAACTAAAATAAATTCTCGAAAAGCTACAGATGACCTGACAGATAATACACCTATGTTTATCTACTGTGTGGGTCAACATTTTTCGAGCACCAATATTCTACTGTTACATTATACATGGTCTACCTGCCTTCTCCAGCAAAAATCAGTGACAGTACATCTATAGCCTGTTTTAGCAGTAGTCCCAGTGCACATTTAATTAATAGTAAGCACCACTTTCATCTGTCTACTGCTATTGTTTAACTATGATTTCTTACACATTCCACTTAAAAGCTGCTACATCCCCAAATGTCACACTGACAATTTTTTTTGTTGTGGTTTTATTAGGCAATATAGCCAGACCAAAACTTTATAGTCTATTGATTAATCCCATGTACCTTGGGATGAAATGGATTACACCATTCCCATTAAACTGCCATGACCACTGGATTCATTTTACACAGACAACACACACAAAACCAGCACAAAGATGAGCAAAAAGCACTCACGCTGTAAATCCAGTTGTAGCGATGACAGAGCTAAAGGGAGAGCACGAAGGAGTGGTTGCTTTGATGGTGACATGTTTTATTGAAGATGGCCTGATCCATTCTGCCTTGACCCCCTCCAGACTGGTAAATATTAATGTCTTGACCTGTCGATGGTTGTTCCTGCCGTCTCATACATCAGTGCGTAAAAGCCATTAGCAACCTGATACGTGGACTGGCAGAGAGGAGAGGACTGAGGCAGCCACAGCTCAGTGTCTCAGAGGAAGTGTTGGGTAATTATTACGTCTTTCTTTGTGCTTCCGCAGGACCTGAGCCAAGGGTTAAAAAAAATAAATTAAGGCTGCTCTGTGATCTAAGTGGACGATGTATAGCAGGGATGTCATTTTGTTATGTATTGACTGCAGATGTTTAGCAATATTATGTCATATAATCATTCCTTTCATGAAATTCTGATCAAATGTCACATGTTTTTATTATCTCCTGGATGGTCAGAACATTATTCAGGCTTTTTGCTAAGAATCTGGAAGCATCTTGTATTTTCCTCCTCTGCATCTGCTGCTGAGTGAGGATGTGATAAAGATATCAGCTTGGAGCTGGCTGGTTACTATGCACTCAGCAATGATTGTAAAGTTTATCCAAGTGTTACCAACCCGTCCCATTTGAGTGGAACTTTTTTAACCTCAAACATAAAGGCAAGGTAATATAGCAGATAGAGTTGTTGAAACAAAGTGAGGACTAAGGGTATCCCTGT